CACTTGAGTCGCTCTAAAACAGTCATGGGATGCTCAGCTTCTCTCTTGTGCCCCTGCTGCCATCTCCAGCTCCCTGTTCCACAGCAGCCACCAGGGTGACCTCCCCTGTTCCCATTGCCTCCTACAACCGTTTGCCAGGGAGCAGCCAAGTGACTAGTCACCTAGGGTTTCTGCTAGTTTCTGCTCAATACTCATTTAGAGAAGAAATTCCTTTTCTGTCTTTGCAGCAGTTCAAAGGTGTGGGTCTAGAGATATCCATAAAGTCATCCAAGAGCTGGTTTATTTCTAGCTGACCATCTAGTCTTGGGGATATTGTTCTCAGCCCTGCAATTTGAGCTGGATTCATCACTGTGTTCAGAATTCAGCCAACGAAAAGAAAGGAACTAGAAAGCAATTTTATTTTTTAAAGGACAAAGAGTGAGAAGTCTTGGTCTTTTCACCCCTGCATCCCATTGGAACTCAGTCACATGACCAGACTTGATTGTAGGGAATATGGGAAATGTAGTTTCTTGACTGGACACTTATCAGGCCAGAACTTAAGGAGTTTAGCATTATAAAGAAGGGGAAGGCAGGTAACATGACTTAGCAGGGAAAGACACCTGCTACCAAGCCTGGTCACCTGAGTTTAATCCACAGAACCCACATGGTGGAAGGAGAGAACCAACTCCCACAGTTGTCCTTTGACCTCCACATACATTGTGATATAGTGCGCGCGCACACACACACACACACACACACACACACACACACACACACATTTAAAAGTGGAGAGGAGGGAAAATGGGTGCTGAGAGATAGTTGCCTTTTATCCCACTGTGCATAGAATAAAATTCACCACCATCACCCCATCCTGCCTGGTGTGCTCTGGCCCTGCCTCCTCTCTAAGGCCTTTCCCATTTCTTACCAGTCTGCACTCAGCTAGAACTTTATCGTTCTTCAAACCTTAGCTAAGTGTCTCCTTGGAGAGGCCAGGTCACTTGCCACTGCTGCTTACTTCTGCCCTTACATTACGTTGTTTGTCCATTTTATCTTATTTATTTTATATTATGTTGTTTGTACATGGATGTGTGTTTGTTCACCACTTGTATGCTTGGTGCCTATGGAAGCCAAAAGAAGGCATGAGGTTCTCTGGAATTGGAGTTACTGCTGGTAGTGACCTGCCATGTGAGTGCTGGGACTTGAACCTGGGTCCTCTGGAAGAGCATCCAGTGAGATGGCTTAGCCACTGAGCCGTCGCTCCAGCCCATTGCTTGTTTTCGAGCCCCACCAGACTGTCAGTTCCCTGGGGAGGAAGCCATGTGTGTTGTGTTTGCTGTTGTGTGCCTGTCTGTTCTGTGGTACTGACTTACGGATGCAGTTTTACTTAATTCACTTTGGTGCCTGTGTTTTCTTCCTTTGCCAGGATACCAAGGACTTTGCCAACAGGTAAGAGTTTCATTTGCTTGTTGTTCCTCTCCCCACTTATGTGGCCATGGTCTGTGTAAATGATGGGGAGTGATAGGAAGCCAAAGGCAAGGTGGCCCGTGTCTCATCCCATGGCTTTTAAGAAAGAGCAATCTTTGGGGATTAGAGGCTGTTCTCTCCCAGCATGATCTCTGAAGTCCAACTGGCCTCACTGTCTTCACCTGAAGCACAGTGGGGGAGTCAGAGCCTGGCTTGGTAGACAGAATGCTCACTTGTGGGATCTGCTGGTGGTCTTATGTCCTCATTTTGTCTTTGGCCAGTTTTTCTGTCTCTTGATTAAGGATAATCAAACCTTTCCTGCTCACTTTATAGTTGTCATGAACACTGGCAGAAAAGCACAAGAGCCAAATGACAGGCTGTTGTGTCCATCATGTTTTCAGGTACCCACGGAAGAAGTTCTGGATTGGGAAAGCCATCCCTCACATGGTTAAAAGAAAGGCAGGAGAATTCTCAGATAAACTTCTCTCTCTGCAGCGAGGCCTGAGGCAGTTCCAGGGTAAGCACTGGGGACAGCACCAGGCTGGAGGTCAGGCTGGACCACATGTGAAGGTTTCCTGGCTTCTCATCTTCTCCCATCTCATCCTTCCAAGGAGCTGTAGCTTCTGTATCTTTTCTCCTTGGGATCTCCAGTAGAGCCTTGTCTCATAATTAATGCCAAGTAAGAAATGGGTTCATGCCGGGCGGTGGTGGCGCACGCCTTTAATCCCAGCACTCGGGAGGCAGAGCCAGGCGGATCTCTGTGAGTTCGAGGCCAGCCTGGGCTACCAAATGAGTTCCAGGAAAAAGGCGCAAAGCTACACAGAGAAACCCTGTCTCGAAAAACAAAACAAAACAAAAAAAAAAAAAAAAAAAAAAGAAATGGGTTCATGAGTTTGCTGGTCTGAAGCTCAGTTCTGTCTTCTTTTTCATCCTTAGGCAAGCTGCTTAGAGACTTGGAGTATAAGACAGGTGAGTAAACAAAACAACCCCCGTGGAATCCTCACTGGTATTGCCCAAAGGTGGCCCCACCCCTTACATTTCTGACTACACTTCTAGTCCTCATCTACCTGACCACATGGTCCTTTCAAGCAAACAGCAGTGGTAGCCCAAGGCCAGAGATCATCTTGCCCAGACCTGTGCTGTGTGTGCTGAGTACCCCCAGAGGACACAGTTCACAGAGACTGTGATGTAGATAGCACTCTGGACTGTGCAGTGAGACAGCCCTGCACAGTAGAGACTGGCTGCCTCTTCCCAGCCTGCCATTGACACTGTTACTTCCTCCCTTGTCCCACAGTCAGTGTCACCCTGGACCCACAGTCGGCCAGCGGGTACCTGCAGCTTTCAGAGGACTGGAAGTGTGTGACCTATACCAGCCAGTACCAGAGTGACTGCCTGCACCCCCAGCAGTTTGACTGTGAGCCGGGGGTGTTGGGCAGCAAGGGCTTCACCTGGGGCAAGGTATACTGGGAAGTGGAGTTGGAACGAGAAGGCTGGTCAGAGGATGAGGAAGAGGGGGAGGAGGAAGAAGAAGGGGAAGAGGAGGAAGAAGATGAGGAGGCTGGCTATGGGGATGGATATGAAGACTGGGAAACGGATGAGGATGAGGAATCACTAGGGGAGGAAGAGGAGGAAGAAGAGGAAGAGGAGGAGGAAGTTCTGGAAAGCTGCATGGTGGGAGTGGCCAAAGACTCTGTGAAGAGGAAAGGGGACCTCTCCCTGCGACCAGAGGATGGTGTGTGGGCCCTTCGGCTCTCCTCCTCAGGCATCTGGGCCAACACGAGCCCCGAGGCCCAGCTCTTCCCAGTGCTGCGGCCCCGGAGAGTGGGCATTGCCCTGGATTATGAAGGGGGCACTGTGACATTCACCAATGCAGAGTCACAGGAACTCATCTATACCTTCACGACCACCTTCAGCCGGCGCCTGGTTCCCTTCCTGTGGCTCAAGTGGCCAGGAACACGCCTCCTGTTGAGACCCTGAATTCCAGAAACTGCCTGGGCCACACTACAGAATCTTCAGTTCTCTGAGATTCGAGGACTCTGAGATGAAGAAGGGTTGCCTGGACCGTACCCATGGAAACTTCCTTTCTCTGGGATCCCAAGACTGTGTGATGGATGAACATTCTTGGTCAGAGCACCAGGAGGAGGAGAGAGGAGGGACATTCACATCCATATGGCACCCATCTCCTCACAGTCATGGCCAGGATCTCTCTCAGTGTGTCACTTCATCTGTTTTTCTTGTTTGAACTTCTCACTCTCCTGCCCATTTCCTCTGGGATGACTCCCTCCTTCCTGAGAACCCGTTTGTCTTGGCTCTGTGTTCTCTGTTGAGTAGGGGCAGCAGCAGCAGCAGCAGCAGCAGCAGCAGCAGCAGCAGCAGCAGCATCATTTTCTCGTTCAGTTGTTGTTCAGTGCTCACAGGTATTGAAAGAGACCATCAGTGATATTTGAAGCCATTTGGCTGTCCTCAAATTTGAGGTTCCTCTTGCCCAAAAACCACTCTGTTGCCTACCTTCCCTGGCTTCTTAAACTCACTTTTCCTACCCCACCAGAGTTAAATATCTGAAGAAGCAGGATTGAACATAGTCAACATCCAAGGCTGTGTAAGTTTGTGTCCTGAAGTGTTGGTGAAATCATCTCCTGGTGCCATTAGCAAAGCTCATGGCCTCCAAACCCAGAGCTGAAGAAGGGGTGGGACTCCCCAGGGCCATCTGTATCTCCAAAAGCATCCAGGTACTGTGACTCAGGCAGGAGCTGTGGTCAATAGATTACCTCTGCAGAGTAGACCTTGTGAAGGGAGATTTTAAAACAATTCCAACATCTTGCTCTTGATTAGTGGGTCTGAAAACACTGAGGCCCAGGAGATCAGAACTACCCCTGCTTCAGAGTCTCCAGCAAGTGTCTCCAGGACAGCTTTAGGCCTCTGCTCTTGGCATCATGGAATGTCCAGAATCACTTTCTTAGGATATGGATTGGAGAAGGGAAGACAGTCCTGAGGAATCTGGAAAACTCCCACCCCAGGTCTTACTGTGAGGAGAGGCCCTGCAGTGTCTCTCTGTTGACCCAGCACCAGCCCCTCTGTCCAGTCACCCAGTGCCCACAGTTGAACACCAGCTCCTGCTTAGCCAAAATGATGCCCCTCTTCTTATCCTTAAACATTCCACATTTCTTCTGCCTGTCCAGGTGTTAAGCTCTTCTTTGCTCTTGAGAGGCTGCTCCCAGACTCTGGATTTTGGTGGCCTTAGAGTCACCACACTGTCTCAAGACTGAACACTTTGTATATATCACACGATGCCTGAGTCACTAGTACATACACAGTGGCTCCCTCACCACCTTTTGTTTTTCCTGGAATTAATCATCATTTTTCTCTTCCTTCTCCTTTAATTCATTTCCTGTGTCTTTATTACTAATAAACTACAAGTTCTTTTTAGTGATCAGCAATCTCAAGACAGTCATCGGTGCTGTCTCCTTTTATCTTGATGCCTCTGAAGTGACCTTGAACCCGAGTCATCGATTGATCCCTTGTGATCCTTGTTAGACCCCCTTTTGTCATCAGACTGGGGGTTCTGGATTTGCCCCCTGAGGCCTGTAGCCGGGGCTAGCCTCAGTCTCATTATGTGGCTGGCCTTAAACTTCCGGCCTCTACCTTCCAAATTCTGAGATTTCAGGTCGGTGCCACTATGCCTAGTTTATGCTGGTGACTGCACCCAGGTCTCATGCATCCTAGGCAAACATGCCCCTCAGCTACATCCCCAACCCATGACCCTGTTTCTGGACCCTGTGTTTCCTCTCCCAATTGGTCACACATTATCTGATAACTTCCTGAGCTGAGTGTGGAAGTCAATTTTTTTTTAAATCTTCAGTATCTAGAAGTGTTTATCTCACTTGTACACTTAAGGGGTTGGCTATAAGAGTCTTCAAAATAGTTTTCCTTCAAAATGTCAGAAGATTGCTTTACTGCCTTTAACTCCGGTTCAAAATTCCCATGGGGCACTCTGCTTCATGATCTTTCCCAGTGGCCTGTTTCTGTTTTACAGGGGGTTGGGAGAGTTGGAAATCTTATCTATATCCTTACTCCATGTACTAGCACATTCCACGATGAGTGGCATGTTTGAACGCCCACCCACCCACCCACCCACACACACACACACAACATACATTCGTACATAAAATTAAGGGACTGGACAGGATCTCAACATGTAGCCCTCGATAGCCTGGAACTCACTGTATAGACAGGGCTGGCCTCAGACTCACAGATTTAAAGGCTTATGCTGCCACACCTAGGGGAAGGAAAAATTATAAAAAACAAAACAAAACAAAAACAAAAACAAAAAACACCTTAGGCAACCTAGAAAAAGGTTTATTTTGGCTCCCACAGTTCTGAAGGTGCAGTCCATGATCAGTGAGTAGTCTCAGTGCTTTTGGCTTCTGTCATGGCAACATATCCTGGTAGGTGTGCTTGACAGAGCAAGTCACACATCTCATCAGTTGGGAAACAATGAACCAGGGTCCCATAGTCCTCTTCCAGAGCACACCCCAGTGACCTCAAGACATCCCACTGCTGACCAGTCATTTAACACGGATTTTTCAGAGGCCTTTCAACATCAGAACTGTCACAATAGACACAAAACACAAAGGCCCGTGGGTCACCTACTTTATTAGGACATTGAAAACCTAGATAAATGACCTGAGGGGGCTTTGGGGCCCACCCACAGTTGATGAGCTCCCAAAGCATATCCAGCTTTGTGTCCAAAAGTCCCTATAAATTAATGCAAACTGAACAGTCCTGGTTTCCCTATAGTGATCATTTTGAAGCTTTTATGGGGTTTTGTTTTTTGTTTATTTTTCCCTTCTAAACCCCATTGGCTCGTAGCTTACTGATGTCTAGGGTGTAGCCTACCTTGCTGCCACTCAGAGGGAACACCATGTCCATGAACAGGACTACAAGGAGCTTACTTTACTCAACACATCGTTTAAGAAACACTTTACAAGATCCCAAGACACTAAACTCCAGTCTCACTTTTGTATGCTAGGGACAGGGCTGGGTTCCAGGGTGCTGGTGTCTGCCACACTTCCTGGTTCCACCTCAGTCATTCAAAGTCAGGCAGGAACTTGCTTTCCAGGTGAGGTAGAGTGGAGAGAGAGTTGGCAATTGGTGCCCTGATATGGAATGTTTGCAGGGTCTCTCACCCAGCCAGGTAGTCCAGGCCACGTCTACACTGTGAAGGACAGCTGTGTCCCCTGGTTCAGTACAAGTAGGTGCTAGCCAGCTGGAGCAAGAGTGTCATGGCCCAGTCGCTGTCCTTGGTGCACAGGGCCTGCTCTCCCCTTAGCCTGGCCACCTCAGGGGCCACTCCCACGGTGCAGCTGACACTCCGGTGGACATTACGTCTTCATAATCTGAGGGTCCAGAGTGACCTCACACACACACTTCCAGGATGGAGCATTGTCCATGCTGCCTGCTTCTTAGGCCTCTATTTCTGGAGGACAGATGTGACAACTCAGCCTGAGAATTTGCTTCTTAAAGTGTGGTGGCCAGACCACAGCACAGTGCCTAGAAGCCTGTTAGAAGACAGAATCTTGGGCCCCACCCTAGACCAACCAAACAAAAGCCTGCATTTTAACCAGGTGTCTGGATGATGTTTCTACAGCAAGTTGAAGTAGGGATCAATAAAAGAACAGGCAAGTGCTTGTGGGAGCAGTTAGGCTCCAATTTGAAATCAAATGTTATTTTTGCTCTTCCCTTTCCTCTCCCAGTCCCTTTTTTGTGGTACTGGGGCTTTATGCATTCTAGGCAAGCAAACTCTAGCAGAAAGCTATTAATACAGCCCTAGAACCCAGCCCCTCCCATCCCCCCTCCAGAAAAGGTCTCAGTAGCTGAGGCTGGCCTGGCACTCACTCCAAAGCTCAGACTGACCTCGAACTTGTGGCAGTCAATCTGACTGCCTCTAGTTCTGGGATTGTAACTGTGCCACCACACACAGCAAAATGCTAGTTGTTTTTTGTTTTTTTGTTTTTGTTTTTTTGTCGAGACAGGGTTTCTCTGTGTAGCTTTGCGCCTTTCCTGGAACTCGCTTTGGAGACAAGGCTGGCCTCGAACTCACAGAGATCCGCCTGCCTCTGCCTTCCAAGTGCTGGGATTAAAGGCGTGCGCCACCACCGCCCGGCAAAAAATGCTAGTTTTTAATAATATACAATATTTGTTCAAATCTACAGATATTCTAGCATAATTCTAGGCAAAGCTCAGGGGCTTAATATTTTGAATGAATATCTATACAGGTAGCTGACAGCATGCATCAATCACTGTGTTCAGTACTTTGCTGAGCTCTGTGTAAATTTATTTAATCCTCACATGGATTTATAGTCTAGGTTCTGTTATTGTTTACATCTATGGTGGGGAGAAAAGGCTTAATAGACCCAAGATCCCAAGCAATCAGGGTCCAGGTGAATACATTTCATTGCTGTTTATGGCTATGGGTGGAATGGATAAATGAAACCCCCCACCCCCAAGAGCCCTTGCTGATTACCTGAATCTGTTTCCAGATGATGCATCAAGTTTTCTGAGGAAAGCAGAAAGAGAGATCTGTGAGGCTTAGTATCTCCTACAGATACTCCCAAGAAGGGGCTATCCTGGCTACAGTGTGAGGGCAGGGACAGAAGAGAAATTGCCTCACTTTCCTGGACTCTCAGCCCAGTGCCTTGGACAGAGGAGGCCAAAATCTGGGGGATTGCTCTCTCAGTAGAATGAGATCTTTTTTTTGTTTGTTTGTTTTGTTTTTTGAGGCAGAGTTTCTCTGTGAAACAGTCCTGGCTGTCCTGGAACTCATTCTGTAGACCAGGCTGCTGGCCGAAATCACAGAGTGCCTGCTTCTGCCTCTTGAGTGCTGGGGTTAAAGGCATGCACCACCATCACCCAGCTGTATAGAGTGAGGTCTTGTGGGAAATTCCAGAGAGGGGAGATGCTTAACCCAAGGTGTTTGCTTATTTTTGTTTGAATTTCACTACATAGTCCAGGCTGGCCTGAAACTTGGGATCCTCCTGCCTCAATCTCCCTGGTGCTAACATTACAGGCATGTGCTACCATGCTTGGTTTGAACCAGGTTTTGAAGTTGGGGAAATATAGAGACAGATGGAAGATAGAGGAGTCCCTTTACCTGAGAATGTCCTCATCATCTTTGGGAGGCCGAGTATTTTCCTGTGGAGGTTTCGAATCTTCTTTACAAGGTCAGAGGAAATGGCCTCTGGACTCACAAAAGTCTTCGGCTCATACCTGCAGACAAGTTGGAAATCAAACTTAAATTCCAAAAATAAAATCCTTCATTTTATTTGTGTGTGGGTGAAAAAGCCCTGGTTCTGTTCCTTTGCAGTCCTCATTACTCATTGGCTATTGGCCATTCTCCTCTCAGCTTCCCATCACATTGTAAGACCCACCACATCCTTGACCTTGGTTCTAACACTTTAAGAAGCATGTTTGGAGACACTTTCCAATGACTTTAGGTACTGAATAAAATACCACTAATTTCATGGGTTAAAGATAACTTCTGGGAGCTGGACATGCCAAACACCAGAGTTCAGTACCCAGCATCTACATGGTGTTCTCACAACTGTAATTCCATTTCCAGGGGATCTGCCAGCCTCTTCTGGTTTCCTCTGGTACCAGGCATGCACATGGTGCACAGATATGTTTGCAGGCAAAATGCCCATACACATAAAATGCAAATACTTGTTTTTTAAAAACTTGGATCATTCTAAAGCCATGCTTATTATATATAACTTTGCTTTGAGGTGGAGAAGTATGTCTCAAAAACCAACATACCAACTTATTTATTTATTTGGGGATAGGGTCTCACTCTGTAGTCCAGGCTTTCCTCAAACTCATGGTGATACCTCTGCCTCAGCTTCCCAAGCCCTAGGATTAAAGGCATGAGCCACCATGCCCAGTTTCAACCCATCTGTTTACTGAGTTTTAGCTGTTAGAGAACAAGTGGCCTCAGTGTTTTTCTGAGTGGCCATCCACAAGGGGACAGATGAATTGCAGTGTCTTCAAGATGCACATAAAGGAGGCAAGACTGGAGAGGGCCTTACCTGCTCTGGTTGAGTCTGACATCCTACAGAAGAAACACAAAAACATGCACTTAGTTTCCACATGGCCTTTCCCATCAGGGACAATAGATCTTTCTGTCTTGACATTAGCTAAAAGGTCCTACCCAGAGTGCTGGAGCCCCTTAATTACCTTACTATGCATTTCACTGCTCTCCTTGTGTTCTTGACTAGTATAGGACTCTGCAGCCAATTTCTTTGCTCTGATTGCTCTGTTCCAGCTGTATCCTTAAATGGGTTCTGCCTCCAGTGATTAAGAGATAGTGGAGAGCAGAGACCAGCCTGAGTTCCAAGTTGGAACTGATGTAGGACAGGATTGTGGTTAAGTACCACAAGGCCATTGATGGAGCTCTTCCTGTGCACTGGAGGCCATGCTGAACACCACAAATGGGTTATTTCTTACATGGTTTACAACTCCAAAAAAAACTATTATCATCCTATGCTTAGAGAAGCTAAGAAACTCACCCAAGTGACATAGTTAGTGTAACTGACACTAAACTCTAGATTGTCTGATTCTGGTCATCTTTACATTATCCTCATGCATGCCTTAGCAGATTCTGTAGTCTTTTGGGCCATAGAAAGCACACCCTCCCTCAGGCCTTATCAATGGAGATAATTCCCCATTTCCCTTTCCTCTGCCTCTCTCCATCACCTCCCAGCTGCAACACAGTACCACCCTTCCTGTGAAACCTCCTGCTGTCCCACAGGGTGGTAGGATTGTGGAGTGTCTCTCACTTGCAGTAGCTCACTTGCTGGTCGATGACACTTCTCCTCCAGCTCCTCAACCTGGGTGCCCAGCCAATGGACCTCCTGAGAGACGTTTGTGATGTACTCTTCCCTCTCCTTCCAGATCTGCTGTTCTAGCCCCTCCAGCCTGGTCATCAGGAGGCACCTCTGGTCTCCAAGCTCCTGCATCAGCCTTTCAAAGGCAGCTTCTACCTGTTGCTTCTTGCTTTCAACCTGCATCTGTGAGGATATGAGGAGGGACTCAGAACTGGCTCCCAGAAGGATCATCTGTGCACTTAATTGATTAAGAGAAACAAGGAATAAGCAATTTCAAGACTCATTTCTACAAATACAATGGTAGAAAGAGGTCTCAAGATAGACTTGCTGATGATAAGAGCTTTGCTGTTGTCTTAGCCAGGGATTGTAATGATATATTGAACTCTTAGAGACATAGCTATGATACCCTACTTTTTTTTTTTTCAGTTTTCTTCTCTGCTGCTATGATAAAACATGACAAAAACTAGGTTGAGAAAGAAAGAGTTTATTTCATCTTATACTTCTATATCCCATCCCATCACTGAGGGAACTCAGGACAGGAACTCAAACAGGAACCTAGAAACAGAGGCTGTGAAGAAATGCTGCTTACTGGCTTGTTCTCCATGGTATGCTTAACCTTCTTATATAACCAGGACCACCTGTCCTGTGTAGGCTGGACCCTCCCACATCAATAATTCATTAAGAAAATGTCCCATAGTCTTGCTACATACAGTCAATCTGATGGAAGCAATCTGATGGAAGCATTTTTTCAACTGCTTTCTTTTTTTTTTTTTCTCAGTTCCTCATTTAGGAAGGGTCCCCTCTTCCTAGATGACCCTAGCTTGTATCAAGTTAACAAAAAACTAACCAGCACACCTACCATATCTTCTTTAGACTCATATGGAGTAACTGTAGTAACATCTTTCTTTTCTTGAGATATGTTTCCATGTCTCATGTATAACAGGCTGGCCTCAAACTCAATTCACGATGTAGTCAAAGATGACTTTGAGCTTCTGACCCTCCTACCTCTACCATCCAAGTGCTAGAATCACAGGTGTGTATCACAACTTCCATTTTATTCAATGCTAGGGGATTGAACCTGGGGCTCCATGTATTTATTCTAGGCAATCACTCTTCATACTGAACTATATACCCAGCCCAATTACAGTAATCTCTTAGATAAAAATTAAGGCAAAAGGGAATCATGATCAGAAATATGAAGCATGTTTTGATGGAATTTGAGAGATGCTGGAGAGAGCTTTCTATCTCAATACTCTCTTTGGTCAGAGTACCAGAAATACATAGTGTGAATTTTCCTCTTGATTACTGCATCATGAAGGAAGCGGTGGGAAGCAGCCAAATCTAGCTGCTTCATTCATCTGCTGTCCTCAGAGCCTGAACCAAGACACTAATGGACACCTATCGTAGGCTTCCCAGCTGAAGGTGGTGTTTCTAGTAGATATATTGGGCCAGGAGAGCCATGGACACAGGTCAAGGGACCTAAGTTCTAGTCATTTCCTCACATGGCGTTAGGAGCACTGCTTTTATAGACCTCAGTTCTCCCCTGTGTATGAGAAGAATAAAGTATGTCTTGGATTCAAAGACATCAGGAACACCTCCAGCCTCCATGTCCCGAGACACCAGAAGCCTTTGTGAGGTTGCAGGAAGATGAGTTAGAAAATCCTGAAGTTCTTTTCGGTCCAGTAACAGACTAGGAGTCTTTGAAGGAAACCCCCAAGGGAGCAGCATGGGGAAACAATTTAGTTGGTGCCTAGCATGCACAAGCCCCTGGACTGGATATCCCGTTAGGCATAAACAGGGTATGGTGGCACATGCCTGTAATCCCAGCCCCTGGGAGGTAGAGACAATAGGATCAGCTAAGTAGTAAATTTGAGGCCAGTTTAAACAAAACAAAGGAACAGGAATGTGGCCTTTACCAGGAGCTCTTGGAGCTTCTGATCTTCTTGATATTTCCTATCTTCCATTTTGTCCCGCTCCTTTCTCAGAGCTTCTAACCGACTCCTGAGACGATCCTGTCGGAGAGAGGAAAGCAGAGGGAGTGAGAGTCCGTGAAAAATCCACCTGGCACATACCGTGTGCTGTGTTGTGGATGAACCACCAGAGCTGAGGGACTCAAAGCTGACAGAGGCCTAATCCTTGACCTTCACCATGTCACCATCTTGGACAGAAAGTGGACCAGGTGGCACTATGAAGATGGAAAAGTGTGTAGTGTGTGTGCCACAGGGAGACAGGACCAAAGAGGAGACCGCAAATCTCCACCCCCTTTCTTTCACCCACCCACGGCAGGTCACTGTCCTGCCTGCCTGGAAGCAGCACCTGAGCTCCTTACCCTGTAGGGTTGGATGGCTTCATCGAGGAACCGCACGATGTGCGCCTGGTGGGCGGGGCCCTCTCTGCAGAACACACACAGCAGCTCTGCGTCTGTCTCGCAGAAGTAATAGATCTTCTCTCCGTGCTCCTCGCAGCAGGTCTCGCCCAGGGGACCCAGGGGTACCGGGGCCACTGCGGCCTGGGTTTGCTCCTCTTCTTCCTCCTGACAGAGCGGGCATAGCAGCTTGGCTCCCATCGGGGTGCGCGGGACGCAGAGTAGACAGACTTTGTGTCCGCAGGCTATGGTCACCGCATCCCGCAGGGGCCGGGTGCAGGCAGGACAGGCTACGTGGTGGAGTCCCCGTAGGGACCCGGTTGAGGGCATCACCGTGCCTTTCCCTGCCGGTCCACACAGTCTTCAGCCTCTGTCCACTCCAATTTCCTTTCCCTGAAACTGAGTCACTTTTGAGTGCGTCACTGTCACAGAGGCAAAGGAATCCGGGGCTGAAAGAAAAGCAGGAATGTCAGCTCAGCGAAGTCACCTGGCTCGGCCCCAGGCACGCCCAGAACCCTGGGCCACCACCCAGCGCTAAGCAGGTCCAAACTCCAGGGCGCCTTGACTACCCAGCGTTTCCCAGTGGCAGGCAGGTGACCTAGCTCTCCACTTCTGTGTCTTCTGTCCCTGGGGTGGGGAGCAGCGTATTGCACCATGAGGTCACTTGGAAATGGGGTTTCCAGGAATGCTTGGCCACAGAGGGGTGGGACCGTTGGGGAGGAGCCGCTTCCTGTCACGCTGAGCAGGTGAAAGCCATAAATTTCAGGCTAGGAGGTCTGTGGTAGCATCAAAGTCCAGCCTGTGGTGTTGAGACTAACAAAACTGCAGGCCCACATGCACGTTCCTCTCCTTGGCCCTTCCTTTCCTCGACTGCTTCTCCTGCTGGAGCGATCTTTCCTAACACCCATGCTAACTGAGCACCACCTAGAACCTGGGTGATACTGGATTTCAATTTTAGGTTTTTTTTTTTCTTTTAAGAAAAAAGTGTAGTGTAGTGGTGTGTGTGTGTGTGTGTGTGTGTGTGTGTGTGTGTGTGTGTGTGTGTGTGTGTTGGGGTGTATGTGTGCCACATGTGCAGTTTCTCTCAGATGGATCCCCTGAAGTTCAAGTTGATGATAGTTGTGAGTTATTCACATCCTGCTACTTGAAAGTGCAACTGCTACTCTTAATGGCTAAGCCATCTTTCCAGCCCTTCAATTTTAATTTTTTTAAATTTTCATTAATTTTTTATTTTTAATTCTTATGTGTATGATTGTTTTGTCTGCCCTTATGTCAGTTGCACCACTGTGTGCAGTGCCTAAAGGGCCAGAAGAGGGCATTGGATCCCCTGGAGTTACACACGGTTGTGAGCCTCCGTGTGGATGCTGAGAACCCAGCCCGTGTCCTCTGCAAGAGCAGCAAATTCTTAACCCCTGAGCCATCTTCCCAGCTCCAGCAATATGCATTCAGCCCCTGAGCAATTACTCCAGAGCTACATCCAATTTAATAGCAATGCACTGGGACAAGTGTGGAGAGGGAGATACAAACTGAAAGGTAAAAAGGATTTCTAGAGGCCCGGGTCTGACAGCCACAAGGCTGGGACAGTTGGAGTGTTTGGGTTCCAGCCCTATGCTCTTCCCATCGCCGAAACTAGTGCCCTACTCACTAGCCCTTGGCATTTACCTACTTCACATGTTCCACAGCCTCCTTCCTGCCCTGCCTACTCCCTCAGCAATACACCCCAGAACAGCTGTCTAATTCTGGTTGAGCAGCGGTGTGTGGTCAGCTCTGGCTGAAGTGTGCTGTATATATAAAAGACTTCACATAAATACGGGGAAATGTGAAATATTGCTAGTGTTTTATGTTGACTATGTGTTCGGATAATATTTTGGAAACATTGAAATAACTTAAATATACTGTTAATATTTATTTTATCTTTCTTTTCATTTTTTTACATTTTCTCAACTTTTATTATGAGAAACATTCAAACTTATTGATACTGTGAAGGAATATTAGCACGGATATGTTTATGCTGGGATATCAGCACCCCCACATACACATCCCACTACACACACACATTAATAATAACTAGATAATTTAAAAAAAAATTAGCAATCTATTAGTGAGTAATGTCAATATTCAAAATATCCAGTTGTCCCAATAACATCCCTTTATAATTCTGTTCCTTTGTGGCTCAGCTCATATTGACAACTAGACAATTTTATATTGCATATGTGGCTTTCACTGAATTCTTTTTCTTTTTCTCAAGGCACATTTCATGTAGCTCAGGCTAGCCCCTAAGGTACTATGCAAGTGGAGGTGAGTCTTGAACTCCTGATTTTACTCTCTCTCTCTACCAAGTGCTGCGATCAAAGTACTACCATGCCTGGTTGTACTTTGTGTTTCTGGTAGACTGCATTACTTGGAAGACTCATAGCTTTGGCTTGCAGGTGGATCACAGTCACTTGTGCTCTATTTGTTTACCGTGGATGGGGTGAGGTGACCTGGTGGAACTTGCAAAATGGAGGTACAAGCAGCAAGATGTGACAGAGCAGAGGTGAAATAAATAAATCATTTAAAGCGCTTCAATCACTAGACGTGTAGTCATGGTAAAAGGTGCTGGCTGTGACTCTATGTTTCCTCCCCCATGCATTTTTTTTCCAGCCCTCTTTAAAGGCCTGTCAAAGGCCCATGGAGGCATCACCACGGTTGCTTGTGTGTGCATATCCCAGCTCAAGAGTCTTATCTGAGTCCCCACACACCCCTGTTCCCTGACTATTAGGCCTTGTGCTGGCTGATACCTCCAATCTCCCTGGAGGCAGGTGGCTGTGTTGCAGAGCTGGGGTGGCAACAGCCCTCTGTGAGTCAGGCTCCTCCCTGCCCCCAAAGAAAGGTCTCTTTTAACAGTGGACTGCTGAGAGATTAAACGTTCTCATCTTTCTGTGAGCAGCTTCGGGCGGGCAGAAAGGGACGGTGAGCCCCAGGCCATGGGAACTGGTCCAGAGAGTAACTTCGGCATCTCTGGATGATGCTGTGAACTCCTGGGCCTTCCTCTTCTGCTATTTCTTCATCTCTGCTGTTGGCGGGAGTGTGTCTGCTCCTGGGAGAGCAAGACAAGGGGCCGCTGGTGCCAGAGATGCAACTGGGCCCCTTGTCCAAGTGTGTGTGAGACTATGTCTGTGCCTGGGCACGGTTTGCGTGTGGAGTGTATTCTTCCCACCACACAGAGATGGTGACTTCCCGGAAGCAGAAGGACCGGTAGGATTGACATGGCCTCAGCTCCTTCTGTGACCAGCCTCGCAGATGAGGTCAACTGCCCCATCTGCCAGGGCACCCTAAGGGAGCCAGTCACCATTGACTGTGGCCACAACTTCTGTCGAGGCTGCCTCACTCGTTACTGTGAGATCCCGGGCCCAGAATCGGAGGAGTCCCTCAGCTGCCCACTCTGCAAAGAGCCTTTCCGCCCAGGGAGCTTTCGGCCCAACTGGCAGCTAGCCAGTGTGGTAGAGAACATCGAACGCCTTCAGCTGGCATCCACGCGAGGCCCAGAGGTGGAGGATGCCTGTCCCGAACACGGGGAGAAAGTCTACTTCTTCTGCGAGGAGGATGAGGCACAGCTGTGTGTGGTGTGCCGTGAGGCTGGACAGCACAGGACTCACACTGTGCGCTTCCTGGAGGATGCAGCAGGTCCCTACAGGGTAGGACCCTGCAGGGTAGGGAAGGGCTCTGGGAGACCCTTGTGGGAGCCGGATTGGACCAAGGGAAGTAGAAAGGCGTTGTGGATTCTGGGGTGGAAGGGGTTATCCTGACTTCAAGTTCTTTTTCCTACTGATTTGATCACCCAGGCGGTAGACTTAAGCACAGGTTTATGATTGAGTTCTGTGTCGTTTCCTTGTGGACCATAGATGGTAGGAGCTCAGTAAATCCTCTCTGAACAAATGAACCATCAAACACGTGTGTGTGTGTGTGTGTGTGTGTGTGTGTGTGTGTGTGTGTGTGTCCTGTATCAGCTAAGTGTGTTTGAGGTTTGTATTTTAAGGAATGATCATGCTTGTTTGTATATTTACAAGAGTGAATGACCTGTGTATGGAGGAGTGGTCAGAGTGTGGTGTATTTGAAGCATGTAACTGAATGTTCCTGTTGTGAATAAGCTAGTTGGGTGAATATATGTGGCATGTATTTTTATTTTTCATTAAATGAGTATTGCTGGTTTTAGTTGCCTTTGTATTTTTGTGGGAGACCAGCTCCCACTTTTTCCCCCAAGGTACTCTTGAGGGAGAAGTGAGAAATATTTAGATAAGAATATAGAAGAGAGAGACATAGGATAGCCTCAGGAGGACCTGGGTCAAAAACCACCATCCCCTTCTGTCTCTGCTAAAGGGCATTTAAAGGAATGCCAAGGGGTGGAGCAAAAGACCTCCCCCCAGCACAGCCAAGTACAGACCATTCCAGACACCTGGTAACCATGCACGTGATCAAGCCATCCCTTAATGCAGCCCTGCGGTGTAAAGCAAGCTCAGCTCTCACCAGGAAACTTTTGTGGGCTCCCACATATTTTGTTACAAGCAAGTGTTTAGATGTATGATGTAGCAATTTGTTAATGATCTTTTGATAGTGGGATTTCTCTGTTCTCTCTCTCTCTCTCTCTCTCTCTCTCTCTCTCTCTCTCTCTCTCTCTCTCTCTCTCTCTCTCTGCCAGGTCTTAATGTAGGCTTGCCTCAGACTAACTATATAGCCTAGGATGACCTTGAATTTCTCCTGCCTTTATGCCCTGAACACTGGGATTATAGGCATGTGCCACCACACATGTTTTATGCAGTGTTGGGAATTGAACCCAGGTTTTGCATGCTAAGCAAGCACTCTAATGACTGAGCTACATCCCCAGCTTTTCTGTAGGTATTTTTAAACACACACATGGATATTTATGTGTTTACTTGTTCCTAATTCTGTTCTAGAACAATTTATAAAAGTAGTGCTTCAATTATTTTTGTATCCAAATTTCTTCTCACATCGTATCATTTCTAGATTACTGGTTCTAGTAAATAAGGAAGATGTTATTTGCGTGTATTTCCTTTGGGTGACATAATTTCAGTTTCAGCAAAGACCACACAGAGCTCAGATCGTAGGTAATACTTGCCACATGCAAAACAAGGTAGTTGTTTAACCTGAAGAAGGGCTCATGAGAAGGGGGTAAACCCTGGTCAAAATCTCTGGAGCACAAAGCAAGAGGACCAAGACTCAAGGCCAGGCCTGGTGGTGCTGACCTATGATCCTAATGTTTGGAAACCTGAGGCAGGAGGATTCTGAGTTTGAGGTAAGTCTGGGCTACATGAAATCCAGTCTCAAAATCAGAATAGGAAGGAGACCCCTGAGTCTCTCAAGGTGCTGAGGTTCATGCTCATCTCCAGGGCATTTCACTTCTACAGATTGAAGGTCCCTTTGTAGTTACTTTGTCTTAGTATTTTATACTCCTTCTCCCCAGGAACAAATACAGAAGTGTCTTATGTGTCTAAGGAAAGAGAGAGAGGAGATTCAAGAAATCCAATCAAGAGAAAACAAAAGAATACAGGTGCTCCTGGTAGGTCTCCGCCTCCCCAGGCCCAGCCCTTTTCTCCAGTCTGAGGCCACAGGGCAGACAGACACTTGAAGGTGTGTTTTGAGTCTTGAATCCTGACTCTGATGTTAACTCTTCCATCTTGAGTGACTGTCTAACTTTAGCTTACTCACCTGTGAAATGGAGATTAAGATCCATTTCCTTACTGAACTTCGCTGCAGGAATTAGTGTAATCCTGCCTCTAACACAGCTTAGTGGTGTGTGCACAATGTGTGCTTCCTGTGGGGCAAGAGGCCAGGCATCTCCGGTGTCTCTCTGAGCCCCTTTTAGAAGCCACAGTAATGACAATGAGAGAATGCTGGGCCTCATGAGAAATGGGGTGACAGGCAGGAAGAACTCCAGCTGCAGTCTCCGCATCCATATGGGGGTCGAGGAACAGGTGG